GTGTCCAGGCTGCGGCCAGCGTGCCCTTGTCCTCACGTGTCCAGGCTGTGTGTAATATGTTCAGGCTGCGGCCAGGACGCACTCATCCTCACGTGTCCAGGCTGCGTGTAACGTGTCCAGGCTGTGTGTAACATGTTCCTGCTACATCTAATGTGTCCAGGCTGTGTGTAACGTGTCTGGGCTGCGTGTAACGTGTCCGGGCTGTGTGTAACGTGTCCAGGCTGCGTGTAATGTGTCCAGGCTGCGGCCAGGATGCACTCATCCTCACGTGTCCGGGCTGCGTGTAACATGTCCAGGCTGCGTGTAACGTGTCTAGGCTGCGTGTTAACATGTCTAGGCTGTGGCCAGGACGCACTCATCCTCACGTGTCCGGGCTGCGTGTTAACATGTCTAGGCTGTGGCCAGGACGCACTCATCCTCACGTGTCCAGGCTGCGTGTAACGTGTCCAGGCTGCGTGTTAACATGTCTAGGCTGTGGCCAGGACGCACTCATCCTCACGTGTCCAGGCTGCATGTAACGTGTCCAGGCTGCGTGTTAACATGTCTAGGCTGTGGCCAGGACGCACTCATCCTCACGTGAAACAGGTGGACTGGGTAGGAGATGGGTGACCTCGACAGCAGTGAGTCTTCAAAGGGGCTCAATGATGGACACCCGTCACCTTCCGGAGTCTGCTGCAGAGGATTTGGGATGGGCACTGCCACTTCCAAGAAGGCCCTAGGGCCATTGGGAGGAGGAGGATGGAAGCCACGTTTGGCGGAGCAGGCCATGCTGCCGGAGATGCAGGTGCCATGACCTTGCTCCCCGGACCCTGGGGAGAGGCAGCAGGCCTCATGCCAGCACCGACCACACGATGGTAGCAGCATCCGGGCTCGGAGCTGAATCCCTCCTGGCAGCGCTGGTTTTGAGGCCCTCACTTCCTCAGCGTGCACCATGGAGACCCCCTCTTCTGGTGGCTGTTGGAGTTTGAAATGGCCCCCAAGAACACAGCAGCCTGGTGCATTGCCAGCCTGGCAGGACCGGCTGCATGCAGCCACCCTCGCTGTGTAACTGTGGACAGTGTCCCGTGTACCTGGGGCGGATCCCACACTGTGTAACTGACTCCACAGTGTCCTTGTACCTGGTTATCCACGGTGGGGGCAGAGCCATGTGTGGGTTTGTGCCCCAGCACCTGCATGGGAAAGCGGCTTGTGACTTTGGAGCATGGCTTCAGGTTGTTGTGGTCGCCAGAGTGGTGATGCTGATGTCCATTTCATAAGCGATTCTGTTTGAAATGGAAGGATCGAGATTCGTGAGGTATAAGTAAAGTCCTGATGGGAGGCAGTGTTTGGAGGGGACAGCAGAGGCGGCATCCCTCTGAGGGTCTCGGGCAGCTGTCAGTGCAGCCGCAGGTCCCCCTGCCCCTTGGTCCCTGCAGCCTGCAGCACCCACCCTGTGCCGACTTGGCATCTGTGCCCCAGTGTGGGTTGGGAGCTCCTCTCTGAAAGGGCCCCTCACGCACGGGGGGTGCCACAGGAGGACCTGAGAGGCACCGAGTACCTGTGAGCCTGTGCGGTATCCACAGGTGTGTCCAGCCAACAACTGTGTGTCCCATGAACGCACCTGTCCGCCCACAGGTGTGTCCTGTGAATAGAGGCGTGTCTTGTGGCCAGGTGTGTCCATTAGATGGTATACCCTTCCAGGGCAGATCGTGTAACTAACTCCACAGCGTCCCTTGCACCTGGGGGTGCTTCCCACAAAGAATACAGGTTGCGAGCTCCAGTCTGCTGCTTGCTTGTTGTGTGCTGAACAGTAGGGCCTGCGTGGCCCCGTGGTGCTTCCGTTTTGGGGTTGCAGCTGCTCTTCTACTGCAGTGGGGTTGACATGGCTCAGGAGCGGATTTCTGATGATGAGAGATTATCAGATTTGAAATGCAAATTCAAGTATTCTTTAGAACCTCCCTGGCGCTTAGAGAGATTATGTGTATTCTTAATATTTCCGTAGCAGACTGATCTCTTTTGAAGAGTATCGTTTTTGTCTGGGTGTGGTGGTTCACACCTGTCATTCCAATGCTTTGGGAGCCCAAGGTGCGAGGGTCGCTTGAGTCTGACTTTGAGACCAGCCTGAGCAACAAAGCAAGACTCCTGTCTCTACAAAAAATGAAGAAGCCAGGCACTGGGGTGTGTGCCTGTGGTCCCGGCTACTCAGGTAGCTGAGGCAGGAGGATTGCTTGAGCCTAGGAGTTGGAGAGTGCTGTGAGCCGAGATTGTGCCACTGCAAAGATTACTTTTGTTTTTTTAGTGGACAGAAAACGTTTTCCCCAAATGAAAATTTTACTGTTTTTTGAAACCTCTGAGTACATAAGTGATTTTAAGCTGCCCTGATTGGATAATTTATTTCAGAACTTTGGATTTGAGTTGAACTTACGTAGACGTGTGAACTATTGTGAGGCAGTCGCTGCTGCTGTAAAATCTCTGACATTTTTTTTCTTTTCATCATTCTCCTTAATTCTTACAGGCTCTGTTTTCCTGAGGCATAAAGAGATGTTTTATTCATGTAGGAAATCAAATATGATCGTTCGGCTTCCTGGCCTGAATACAGGGTACCTGGAGCTTTTGACATGTCCCACCACATGACCTGAAGCCAGGTGTCGATTGTGGACCCCCCAGTTTGGGGATTCAGTGGTGGTTTTCCTGGGTTTGACGTGTGTTCTGGTCCTTTCCCCGATGCCTAGTTCATTTTGGTGAAGCTGTACCTGGTGGAACGGCTGCTGCCTCGCTCTCCCCAAACCCCTGGGTCATCCCCACACTCCTTGGGCCTCAAGGCGCTTCTGTTGAGAACCAACGGGTGGTCTCAGCACGCGACCCTCCCCACACTTGCTCCCCGGCCTCACACGTGACCCTCCCCGCACCTGCTCCCCGGCC